ACTGTGGTTCTGCCTCATTTGCACCCGTGTGAGAGCAGGGTCCAGCCACATTTCCGTGGTGCTTACTGGGAGGGGGGAACAGGAGTAAATGAACCTGCCCTGGCTTTGCCACTGGGCCCAGCCCCTGGTGCCAGGGGATTCCCCCCATTTCATGTGAACATGGGAGTGGGGTGAGAACCTGGGACTGCATCGTTCCTAGCAGGCTACACCTCGAGCCACCTTGGGCAGTCACCCTCACGCCCGGCTGCAGGCAGCGTGTGCACTAGCACCAGGGGAGTCTGCAGGTGCGTGTGGCAGGTCGTTTCCTGCGTTATGCTCAGGCTGGCAGACCCAGCACGCAGGGCAGGGCAGCGTGCACGGCTGGTGTGTCCCTGGGCCCAGCCCTGATGAATCGCGGGTGGGGAACCAGCTTTGTGCATGTTCTTGGTGCAGTGGCTTTGCTGGGATACATGGCAGTTATTGCTCAGACATGAACGCCTCTGGCCTGAGAACTGGGGCCTGTTTCCCATGACAATAATCCAACCCCCCCGCCCCGGAAACGCTGCCCTGAACTGCACAGATCTAATCCTGAATAACTGGCCACGCTCCTGTTTTATTTTGCTGCCCTCTGAAGCTCCCACCCTGGGGCTGTGCCGACGAGTGGCCAGTGGCTATGACCTGCCCCCACTTGCAGCGTCACTGTGCCCCTGACTTACCGTCTTCTCTTCTCTCTTCAGCCCCGTCTGCCGTCTCCATCATGCACCAGGTGAGCCGGACTGTGGACAGCATCACCTTGTCATGGTCTCAGCCTGACCAGCCCAATGGAGTCATCCTGGATTATGAGCTGCAGTACTATGAGAAGGTATCAGCAGAGCCCGGGGCTGCCCACTGTTAACACGGGCTCAGGCCTTTGCCACCCTTCCTGGAGATGTGCCGAGGGGCAGCTGGAGATGGCACGTACCCCCAGGGCACGTGGCGGCACAACTGGAGTCAGATCCAAGGGAAGGGAGTACGGGTGGGCGTGGCTGGCACAGAGGCAGTCTGGCAGGGCACACAGATCCCGGGATGCATGCCTCGGGCAGGCCACGCAGCAGGGACCCCTGCAGGCACCGGGCAGCTCGCTCTGCTTGGCTTATGTAGCTATTCGAAGGGGAATGAGGAAGCTCCTGAGGCCAGGGCAGGACCGGCCCGACCTTCAGTAATCATAGAATCTTAGACTCCTAGGCTGGGAGAGCCCTCGGGACCCGCAGTCCAATACCCGCCGCCCCCGTGCCCGCGCGCCACCACAGGCCCGGACTTAGCCAGTTCGGATTAGGCTTCCTATCCGAACTAGTTGTACGCCTCGTGGAACGCAAAGAACAGGTAGTTCAGAATAGGAAGCCTAATCCGAACTAGCTAGTCCGTGCCGCGTGTAGCCGTGCGGCACGGGGTCCGACCTAGCCGGCATTTAAAAATGGCACCGGCCGGCTTTATGCAAATGAAGCCCGGGAAATTCAAATCCCGGGCTTCATTTGCAACTCGGTATGACTACATTACCCCGCTAGTTCGAACTAGGGGGGTAGTGTAGACATACCCTCTGCTCTTCTGCAGACTAGACAAGCCCAGATCCCTCAGCCTCCCCTCGTAGGTCATGGGCTCCAGCCCCCTCAGTATTTTCATTGTCTTCTGCTGGACCCTCTGCAATCAAGAGCTGGTGGTGCTCAGAGCTCTTGCAGGCTAGCTCGTCCCTCCGATGTGCTAACGCTGAGGGCCCAGGGACTTGTTTTTCCCTCTCCCTGTTACAAGGGTGGCCCCTTCCTGTAGCAGGAACTGCGCTGGCTGGAGCCTCGCGAATGGACGCACTAGTGCTGCGGGGCCACATTCATGCTGTATGAGTGGCATGAATTCAGCCCTCAGAGCCAGTCCTAAGGGCGTCTCTGCATGTGTTACACTGGCAAAACCGTGGGCCCGCACTCCCCACTGTGACGTAGCAGGGACAGAAAGGTGAGGGGCTGGCAGGCGCCGCTGGGCATGTGCAGTGCATCACCGCTGGGTCTGCCCGGGGGCAGGTCCCAGGGCTGGTGTGAGAGGCTGGAAGAGACTCAGGGGTGGCATGTCGCAGTGACAGGCTCTCCCTCCCCGAACCACGTCCCACTCCAGCCAGGCAGAGAAGAGGGATTCTGGGCTAGCCAGAGGGACTCCCCTGGCCAAGCGTGTAACGCCACATGCACGGCGGTGAGGTGTCGGGGGCAGTGCAAGGCCCAGCTTGCTCTGGCAGGGGACACGGGGTCAGGAGGCGCAGCCTCAGGGAGAGGTGGGTGAACCCGTTGGCCATGGGAAGCGCAGGGCAGGAGCCTCCTTCCCAAAGCTCGTCTCTTCCGCAAACGACGCACGAAAACATCTACTCAGCACCCCTCTGATCGAAACAGAAAATACTTTCCCAGCAGTGGCTGGAGGGAATGATTAATCCCCATCGCTCCCTGCCCGTGACCTATTTTCTCATCACCAAGAGCCAGGGGGAGAAGGGGGAGGGGAGAGCCGCTTGGTAAGCTGTAAAATAGGTCCTGACCTATATTGCATAAATCGGAGCATTGCCTTGACCCTTGGGAGTGCTGCAGAGAACACAGCGAGGAGGATGGAGCAAGGACCAGCCAGGCCCAGAGAGGGGCCCCTGCCCAGAGATGCTCTTGAAGCAGCGACAGAAGATCTCAGGGAGGTTATTTGCTCTCTCTTGGTGGTGTGTAAATAGCAGGAAATCGTCTGGAACGCCTAAGCGGGGCCGGAGGCCCGTCTGCTGGGCTGTGGCTGGCTGCTGGAGGCGGATGCTCTTATCCGTGCTCTTCAAAGAGATCGTGGAAGAGGCAAATGGTGTGGTGGCAAATCATTCCTACAGCTTAAGATGCACACGGCCTTGGTGCTTTGCAGAGGAGCTGGGCTGGAGTTTGTTGCCTGCTTCAGCAGTGGGCAGAAGGCAATATTCTAGTGAAGGGTGTTAAGGACTAGCCGACTCTCCTATCAGATAGAGGCGGAGGGGAGAGAGGGGGTATTTCAAAGTGGCAGCACTGTGGGGAGCCCGGGGTCAGTTGGGGACTCCCTAGCTGACCCCGGGCTACCTGTGGCATTTCCGCGGAACCCGGAGTCAGCTGGGGAGTCTCCGTGCAGCTCTGCCACTGTGACATGCCGAGCAGAGCCTGGGATCAGCTGGGGAGTCCCCCACTGACCCCAGGCTCCACATGGGCTGTGACGGACCAGGCTGAGTCTGGGCACAGCTGAGGGTGTCCGCTCAGGGCGAATTGCTCAACTTCGGGGCTCCTTACAGCCCCCAGACTGGAGACCTTCCCAAACAGGCCACAAACCAGTCCCACCGAGTGCTTCAGCTGCCTGCCTGAAGCCTCACGAGCAAAACCCCTCCAGCATCCCAGCAATATCCGTGCCCCAGATGGCCCCGGGCCTCATACACAGGTGGGGGGTCTTAGCACCCAATCCCACCTACCCCGAACAAGTTCTGTCCGGTTCCAAGAAACCAGCCACAGATCCCTGGTCAATTTAGCCTCCGGATCTTACCCACAAATCACGCTGGGCCAATCCTTTAGAAACTACCATCTAAAGGTTTATTGCTACCAGAAAGAAAAGCCTGCGAGTAAGGTTGTTAAAGGATAATACTTTACATGCATCGAATCTACCAGTTCTCAATGCAGGCTCTAGCAGAGATGTTATAGCTGCTTGCTTAGAAGACCTTAGTTGCACATCCTAGGTCAGGATGGGTCAACAGTTCTTTCTGGCCCTTCGATCCCTGCACTGCTGCCTCTGGGATGAAGTGCTGAGATGAGTACAAGATGGAGTCAGCCACATGGCATCTTTATACCTCCTTCCTGGTCTCTTCTTGGCTGCAGCAGGTCACCTGGCCTATCCCTGTGTTCCCTGCTGGTAGCCCTTAGGTGTCGGTCACCATTCCCGAGGTGTGTCCTTGGCCCATTGAGTGCTATTGTCCCACAGGGCCTCGCTAATTACCATGTCCATAGACCGGGCTCTGCCCAATGCTCAACCACATTCAGAGGGACTTCCAGTCTCTATACAGATTACAGATTCCTAACTACACACACAGACATTATACAGATACATGAAGAGCAGATACAGAATCAGAAGAAAGTAAGCTTTTTTTTGACCCCTCACATGGCCCCCTTTGTACCATTTTTGGGGCGAACACCCCCCCATGGGTGCAGCAGTGACCCGGCTGCTCCTCTCACAATCCAATAACGTGACACGGGCACTTCCGCTTTGAAATGCACAGGCTCTTGTGCATTTCAAAGGAGAAATGTGGACATGCCTATCGACTAGTCGAGTCGTCGATGGAAATTGCATTGACGACTTGACTAGTAAATTAATTGTTATTTCACATCCTTAATTCTAACCCAAACCCTCCGGTTGCTTGCAGAGGTAGCATCTGGTACCAGTGCTAGAGTGATACTATGGGACAAGTTGGTCCTTGTCCCTACGACTGCCTGTCCTCCTCCTTGCTCTGGTCCATCCCCAAAACTGAAAATCCTGCCTCCAGCTTTCATTGGGAAACGTCTTTTCCTTTCAAAATTGATTTTATCTTATAATCTAATACAGTACAAAGTGCAAATGTCACAATTGGAATGAAAGGCTTTGATTTGATCACTGCACAATGTTTCAGTTGGCCCAAAACAATTTTCTTAAAGTGGATTTCAGAGAAAATGTGAAATGTTGGTTTTGTTTGAGTTTGGAATTAAAGCCGGTTTCCACATGTCAGTATTTCCTGCAGAGCAGAAACTCTGAGCTTCAAGCAGCTCTAGTTGTCATTCAAACCATCATATGGATCCAACCTATGATTTTTAGCCCTCATTACTAAGCAAGACCCAGGGGAAAAGCCCTCTTCTCCCTAAGGTATCTCTGCTTGCTCCATTTCAGCTCCCTACCGCAAATGCTTTGGATGCTGTTTCAAAGTAGCACCATTGTACTATCATGGGAGAAGTGTGCTTGCTCTGCTGAAAATACCAGAATTGCTGAAAGTTTCCAAACAGATTCACCCCTGGGTGGTAACCAGCCCTGGAGAATTCCAGCCCCAAAGGTTGTGAGCCCCTGGAAAACAGGGGTTTCCCATGGAAAAGCTTTGGGCACCGTCATGAAGACCCTCTGGTCTCCAGATGGAGTTAAGGAAAGCAGAGGGAGGAAAGCTGGACAGCTCGGCACACAAGCCACCGCCCTGGCTCCTAAGAGCCTCGCTGCATCAGGGCTTAGCTGGTCGTTGGTCCAGATGCACAAGAGCTGAGCTGTTCTGACCCCGGCAGTGGTGGCGGCTTAGGTGGCCAGCCTGTGCTGAGTTGGCCTGTGGTCGCAGGAGCCCCGAGGCGGGTGGAGCATGGAACAAAGCACGGGCCCAGGCCCAAGCCACCCTGGCATTTGGTGCAGTGTGTCACTGTCAGGGCTGATCCTCACTCTGGCACTCCGAGTGCAGAAGGTGAGGGCTGCAAGAGAGCTCCAAAACCTCGTCTCCACGGGCCCTGGTTACAAAACTTCCCCCAGAATCCTAATACCCAGATTTTGGGGAATTGCTGCCACCATCAAGTGCTTTTTTGTCCCTAAAAAAACAGGGATGAACATTTGAAACCACCCCCAGAGGTACCCTAAGCTCTTTGCCCCAAAAGAGCTTGAAAAAGAAAAGAGGAAAACAAGCTGCAGTGCCTGGTAGCTGACTCTCCGTCAGAAGCCTGCAGATACCCACAGCCAGACCTGCCAGGACACACGTGATTTTTAGTACAAAACAAAAGACACGCTTGGGAAAGCATCCTAGGTTGCTAGATTTACCACCTAGGAAAACACATTAAAAGCAGAGGAAGATCTCTGGCACGGTGCTTAGGT